CTGAGTTTCTACTTCCTTGTACTATCTACAGTGTCATGACCATTAACGTCACTTTGCTCTGATGTGCACATAAATACGCAGCAAAACATACCTGCTGCGTTCCACCACACTGATGGCATAAGGAGGCAAACAATGTATCAGTATGAAAAAAAGAAAAGTCAGGGCTCAGCTGGAGAATCACACAGATATGTAATGGCAAAGATTAGGAACACAACATTGAAGACATACAATTAAGTCCAAAGAAATGCAAAATGCAAATACCAAAGGTGCTTAATAAATTTACAGTATGTGCATATCTCTCTGTAGTTCCATAATTAAAGAAAAAAAGGCTGCATATGTGCAATTCGCTGCTAGTTCACAGCAAGAAGGACATTCAGGTTTTTTATTATACTGCTAGAAGGAAGCAAAAAATCAACTGAAATATTAAATGGAAAGAAAATCCAGTAAAAGCGCTTGTTGCAGTCATGGAGGAGCATAACACTTACAAGAACAGGTATCTCACAGTACTATCTGGCCATTAGATCAACCCTGGATTAAGGATCCCATCTCAGCTCCTTATTTTAAAACAGATTTACTACATCTATCCAAGGTAACTTCTGCATTCAGCTGTCAGGGAAAGAATTATTCACTTGATATTGCTTTCCAGGGCAAGAAAGAGATTAAAAAGCATTAACTCTAGCATTCAAATTAAACAATTTTTTTTTACCACCAGCACTATCACTTAACTGATTATTTTTCCTGGCAGTTTTTGGTTGTTTCCTCACTACCCCAGAGTCTATACTCACAAGCGATTTTCTTCTTGTCCTATCTTCTAAGCTCTCAAGGAACAGTTTTCCAGTAACCCACAATCCTACTTAGTTTCTACCACTTAGTTTATTTTCTAGCGTTATACATAATTCAGCCTCCTACTAGTACAAGGCTTCTTTTTTCAAAAGGTGTTTTCAATATTCAAACAACCAAGGCAATTGCTACATAGGCACAGTTACCTCTACACAAGGTATATGAAAGATTAAGTATTCACTGTAAGTGAAGTCCTGCCAAATAACCACTTGTGATGAAACTAGATTAGGTTCAACACATCATAATAACAGCTCATCTTCTACAAACAAAGCTGAAGGTTCCATACTTCATTTAACAGTCAAACAAAGTGTTATTTTAACAAGTACAACAAACATTTGGATTTATTCCCAGTCCACTAAGATTGTTCTATCAACAAAAAGGCTCTTTTCCTTTATAACCTGATAGAGTAACTTCATTTTCTTTTTGGCCATCCATAAGCTATTTATTTAAATTAAATGTTTTGATAATAACAAAGTTTTTCTTATATAATTAAAAACAACAACTATTCTTGCTTTATTGTTTCCTTTTTTTTTTTGAAAAAAGAGCAACTTCACAAGCTAATAAGAAACAAAGCAACACAACAATCTCATTGATCCACTCTTATACAAATCAAAAAGCTAAATGCTCAAGAAAGCTGTATCCCACACAGTATGAAAGAAATTTCAGAAACAATAGAAAGTAAGTTTCAAATTAAATTGAAAAATAGGTTCAGGCAATTAAGTACCAAGATTCCACTAACTTTTTAATGCCAACAGGCTCTTTCAAACCCCTTGCCACCGGCAGAGCCCTTGAAAATAAGATTCTGACTTTTGAGCAAGTCCAACAAGCATATTCTTAAGTTTTCAACTGCATTTGTATATTCAGCTGCATAACACTAAAAACTAGAAAAGGACAAATGCCTACAAATCTCATTAGAATCTTATCTACTATTTCTATATTCTTATAAAACATGTTTATCTCAAGCCAATAGCTGTATCAACACCACTAAAACACACTCAGCTTGACAGCTCCACTTAAGACGATGAAACAATCTGCACAGATCAAATACAAATAAAATTTAAGCATTAAGTCTCAAGGTTATAAAGGCATTGTTTTAGTCGTAGACTATTAAGCGAGCCTTGTGTATGCTTAAGATTTTTTAGATAAACAGTAACCCTGAGCCATGGTTTTCAGGGATTTCACTAATAACCTTGACCCATGTTCACATGGTGTCCCTATGCAGAAAAACCTGATTGCTCCACCTTGAATTGCATAATAAACCTAAATATGTACTGTTTATTCCCCAGGATTCTGGTCATTTATCTATTCTGAGATCAATCACAGAATCACAGAATGGCCTAAGCTGGAAGGGACCTTAGAGATCATTTTAATCCAGCCTCCCTGCTGCCAGGGACGCCACCTCTCGACTAGATCTCGCATCACATTGGGTACAAACGGGAACTGAACCCGTGACCTTAGTGTTGTTAGCACTACGCTCAACTGACTGAGCTAACCGGCCCCCTGTTAAAGACCCTTTTTAATTATGAAAAAATTGTTAGCAAAACTGTCAAAGGAAATGGAGTTTTGAAGGAAAGTCCAAACAAGATAAAGCATTCAGGATACATTGGAAAACTGAGCTCATTTGAATACATGCCAGGTCAACTATCGAGAACAAGTAAAATAAGCACAATCCATCTTAAGAAACACGGATTACAAAGAGAGCCTGAGGAGGAAAGAGGTATAGGAAGAACCAGCTGAGCCACATCTCTAATGGGATACTGCAGCAAACAATCCATTTTTTATTTTAAAAATACACGGTATGAGGCAAAGTTTATGCTCAGCCTTTATCTTACGGGGAAAAAAAAAAAGACAATACCCAGGGACTGTGTCCCCTTTTCTAAGTACGTATCCTAAAACTCAAAGAAGGATCACAGAAGAACTAGAATTCTAACACCTCCCAAAAAAAAATGGCTTTATCAAAACACATTTGGATTTAAGTTCTTTAATTTTCTCACAGTTTCTAAGAATCTATACAGGGGAAGTCCTGTGGCTAATAAAGAACTCTACTACAGGAGACAAATAGAGAGGACCTGCATTTATAACAGCCTCAGCTGAACTCGGACCAGACACAGTAAGTACATCTAACCACCGCAGCAACTCACGAAAAGCATTAGGTCTTTCTCACTTAAACCCTAAGTCACAGAAAGTAGAGATGCATTGCAAACTGTAAGAAACACCTTTGCAACCAGAATGTGTCCACCTAGCATTGCAACTCTCAGGAGATTCTACAGCTTGTGTTGCACAGGTGATCAGAGTAATCAGTATCAATATCAAAAATACCTAAGTTTATCTATGTTATAACAAATCAATGTGAAACTACAAAAGATCCAGCGCAGAAAGATACCTTTTCTGATTTGCTTGTAAAATGTAGAATGAACCTAACACAACAAGAGATTAAGTTGGGAAGCAATCAGCTCTGAACAGCAGACCATTCAAAAACCTTCTAATTTATCAAATTACTCAAGTCAAATTTAAGATGTTTCCAAATCTATGTCATTCAGTAAGACAGGAATCAAATTCAACCTATCATCAGCATCTTAAGTGAATTCCTTCAGCCCACATACAGCCTTAATCTTTGCTTAAGTGCCACTAGAAGATCTTTTAAGTAAGATGGAATAAGCCAACAATCAGCAGTAAAAGCAGCCCTCACATGCATTTCAAATATATTACGAAAATTTTAAAAATGCACATACATACACATTCAGCCAACTGTTCTCAGATGCTAAAACAGAAGTGTTAAAGTCAATCTTCAAAGAAATACTTTAAAATTAAGCTAAATACTAGAAGCTCAGCTAATTTTCTTCCACATACACGTTTTTATAGAATTCACAAAACCTGAGTATTTTCTTCTCTACTGGTGGCATACCTTTAAGGACTCTCGATTCATAAATAAGGCTGGGTCCACATAAACTGATGTTCACCTATCAAACAACAGCGGCTAATGCCACAAACCTTCCCATAATATCTCAAATTTAATAGAGGAAAATGCACAATAGGAAGTAATTGGAAAAAAACTGCAAGCAGAAAAATCACTACCAGTTTTTTTGTTTCGAACTGGGAAGGAAACATGTTTAACAGGAATTCTGCAAAGTGAAACTTCCTTAACAGTAGATGACTGTCTCCCCTGCAAATTTACAGTCAAACTCCGAGAGCACCAAGGTCAAGAATCACACAAAAAGCAACACTGAAAGCAGTAGTAAGGAACAACCACCATGCAAAGAAAAGTTAACATGTAAGACACTTCAGACTGATGGAATTTGCTCTTATTTATTCAGTTGAATGCTACTTACAGTTTAAGATTGTAGGTTTAGTTAACTATGCAGCTTTTAAAAAAAAAAAAAAAGACTACATCTAAACAAAATTCTGCTGAGAACTCAGCAGTTAGTCGCTGTCACCATTTTTTTCAGAAGGTTACAGACACAAAAATGATCAAGAATGGTTAATTATACTCACTCCTTTTCCCTAGAGTAAAAATAGCTCTAGAATTTAGAAAGTTGAAATCCAAAACTGAGAATTATGGTATAGTATGGTACACACAAGATATAATGGAAGGTTTTCTTACAAATGTCTTTTCCAATTAGAGTTATTCCTAAAAGTCTAATAGACAAGTAGTGTTTTTTCACAAAAAATAAAATCTGTGTTGATACGGAAGTAAAATACAAAACAACTTCTGCAGTTCCCAATATTTAGGCAGAGCTCAAAGACATGGCAAGTCATAAGCAAAACAAAAAATTCAAGTTTTCAAACCTACTTACAGTAACAGTCATTTTACAAAGTGTGCTAGTGAGCAGTTTAACTATATTAAAAATACTTCCTTAACTCCTTCCCCTAAATTTATGGAGTACTGTTAAGCAGGAAAGCGTTAGCTCATAAAACCACGTCTAAGTCAGCCTAAGCCACTACTCAACATCACCTCAGTTTTACCCTGCTCTTGACTTTACGAGACTTAAGGCTCAACTTCTGAAATTCTTTCCGGTAGCTTAAGGAGAACATAATTTGCTTTTGTCGATAATAGGTTTTATGGTCATATCTAAGAGTATATTACTTGAACAATTCATCCCATTTGTAGCACAATCCACCTCATTACAGCTGAACATATAACAATATATTCCTTCCATTACCTGTCTCTGAAATATAAACAACAGGATCCCGCTTTAGAACTTTACCAAGTTTTGAAGGAGCTGCTTCTTTCTCAGATGGCTTCTTGGATTTTTTCACTGACTGCACCTCCTCTTCTGAATCTGTATTTTGAACACAACATAAATGTAGATTTCCTCCACATATATACAGGCTTTAAGTAACAGATCACATAATATTAGTTAACACATGCTCACATATATTCAGCTGTGTAAAAAAAAGACATCACGTGGAAGGTCAGCACACAGCTTTGTTTTCTCCATCCGCTAGTAACAGCCTAGCCAACATTTATTCCAGCATATAAATGACTAAATGAAAATTTGGTCAGAACTCAGTCTAGACAGCGCTTTTTGCTTACGTAACAAGAATTATGCTGGTACTTATTCCAGGAACTGCTATGTCTGTACAAAATTTTCCCAAAAAAGGGATGCAACTGTTCAGATTAATAAAATATTTTTAAAAGACACATAAAAAACCAGCAAGCTTTTAACATAGATTCATTAGCTTGATATACATAGTATTATGTTTTGCTGGCGTATTCCACACCATCTATTCCAAAAGCTAACAACAGACTGAAATAGATCACTGAGGTTATACTCTGACTTCCAAGGAGCACATGGTCAGAATGCCATTCACGTCACTAACCACTCTCCACACCCCAAAAGTTGTCAAGATGCCAAACCTGCACCACTGTGGGTTACGTATTCCAACATCCAAATGAGCAAGTGGGACAAACTCAAGCAGCCAAGACAACCACCCAGTGTAACAGAGGACGACCCTTCAGGGTCTAGTTTTTCCCACTATAAACATTTATATACATTGTGATTATTAATAAAATGTAAAAAAAACACAAAAACACACACTTTTCCATCTTCAAGAACTTACAGCACAGTTTTGCTTTCATTCTCCTATTACAAACGTGCTAGAATTTGCAAAATCTCCACTTTAGCACTTTAAAGGTAGCAGCTAAGTTATATATTACTTCTGTACTCCACCTTTCAATGCAGAAATATTTCTACTGCTGTGCCTCACTGTTTATAGAACAGTTTATCTGAAGATTTGAACACATTTTCTATTTATAACTGCATTACTCTGACACGTTTGTGTGACCGTTTTTCTTCTAAGAGGGAAGTAATCTTCTATTGTTAGAAAAATTGCTTCTAAGAAATCTACACTGAAGTCTTCAGCTGGAGCCAAAAATTGTAGAAATTCCTGCAATCTTTTCTACAATTTCACAACAAATGCTTACAATTCAGAACTCAGTCAAAGAAAGATTAAATGACATAACAGCTCAGAAAGTTTTAGCTTAAAATTTCTAGTTTAACCTAACGGTAGGCAAAAAATTATGTTGTTTTTGTTTGAGGGGCTGTTTTTTGGGGTGGGGTGTCTTTTTTAGGATAGGTGCTATAGAAGTGGTTTCCCTTACTATAATATTTCAACAGAATATTTTTAGAAAGTGATAGCACTGTTTTAAACTATATTCTGTGTGTTCCATATAGTAAATTTAAAACTATGGAATGAATTTTTACTAGATTTTTTTTTTAAATATATGAAACAATATTTAGTCTTTTAAAGCAATCTCTTATGTTCATACAATGCACAGAAATGCAAAATTACAGTATATGATTAGCCTTCTGTGTAGGATGCTATTTAACCCTAATAGAACACAAAACTTACAACTCTCCACAATTTATGTGCATCTTCATAACAAAACAGAACAAAAAGGCTCTGGAGTTTTGACAGATTTTACTGTCTCAAGGAGTTTTTTGTTGTTTTTTTTCCTAGCTGAGGTTTTGTTAAAAATTACTTTGCACTGTATATTATATGCATGGCACATACTGCACTCTAGCCTTTATATATATATTTTATATATAAGTGTATGAAATT